TTTTTGTTTTTGTTTTTGTTTGGTTCGTTTTTTTTGAAAGGAGGGTGGAAAGGCTGGAAACATCTAAATATATTAAGTCCTCTGTGCTGTCTTTGGCTTGCTTAAGCAATTATTACTATTTTTTTTCAAACTGTTATGTTACTGTGTTGGGGCAAGTTTTGGGTGCTGTGCATTGTGCTTATTTGCCTGTTACAATATTGTTGCATTTGATTTTTCATAAGGATCATTTACTAGCTGTTGAATAACAAAATTGCAGGGTGTTGAAGCAGGATCTAACTCTTCTTAACTGAAAGATACATAGTAAGAGGTAAACAAAATGAGAAACAAGTCCTCTTTCTGTAGCCTTCCAAGACAACAGTCATCATCTTGTCTATTAAAATTCGGTATTGTTTTGGTAAAGGATAAGGGAGAACCTGGTTTTGGATCAGGCAGAACTTTGTTATACCAAGAGAAATGCATGCCATCAAATGTCAATTTATGTTCTGTTATAAAAAGGTCTGGGTGAACTGTTGGTTGTGCCACCTCCATCGGTCGTGTAAATGTTTCTGCTATTGGACCCAGACTGAGGAAGCATGGGAGTTAAATATGCCGGCCGTCATTTGTTTACTAGGGCAAGAACTGCCTCTTTGCTGAAAACTCACGTAATTTCTGATGGTCATCTGACATCATTGTCCACTAATCATTTTACCTTCTTGTAACAAAACACTTCTTGACTGCTTTTAAGGTTGTGGGTGTGGGCTGGAGCAGAGCTTTCAGTTCCAAGTGCCTTTGATATGGTTGTGCTAGGTCTGGGAAGTGAGAAGGCCTGTGGCTTTCCTTAACTTTGCAGTAACACATCTTCGCAGGGACATGCTTCTGGGGGAGGATGCGTAGAGACCTGTGTGCGGGAGGGGAAGTAACAAAGCTCTTGTTAGAACACGTGGTGTGAGTTTGGGCTGCGCTATGTCGTCATCGCTCGGGATTTTGGAAAGGTGCTTTGGGCTCAGCGGGCACCAGTCCAGTCTGCAGCCTGCCCCTCCTGCAGGTTGTGCCTGAAGGAGAAGGGGGCAGGTGACAAAGAGCAACAGACGGTACCAGGGAGGAATTCAAGAAGGCAGTCATACAACGTTGGTTCGTACAAGTGCCAGGATGTACTGGGGACCCAGACGGCCCGTTTGGAGGCTTTTAATTGGTTTATCTACTTCTCCCCCCCCCGTAGGAAGGCAACGTGTTATTTGGAATATGCTTGCAGGAAAGTTGTAGGATATGAGTCTCTGGTCTCCTATTGCAATTTTGGAGTGGGCAACTTGGCAAATTTGAGTTGTTAGTCTAGGAGCCACAGCTAGAGCACATTTTTCCTTCCTTTGTCTATCAGAAGAAAGACTGAAATACATTTAAAAAGAGATGTCTGTTGGATTATGGAAAAAAAATCCTTACCCTGCTTGTCTTGAAGCTGGCCAGGTGTATGTGGTCCGTTCAGTGCTTGTTATTATGAGTCACTCCTGATTCCCAGTGGATACCTGGTGTTTGTCCACTCTCTCCCTCTCTTTTTTTTTCTCTTTGAACATCAAAGTGCACACCACCCTGTCTGCTTGCTGGTGTGAATTCTAAGTAAAGCTTTTAGTGGCCCTGGAATTGGTTTTCAGGTCTGTGGAACAATTTTGCTTCTGACTGTGTCAGAGATACTACTGCTGTGAGTAAGTAGCATAAGAATTTGGTGGTCTTGGCTAAAACACCGTAACGAGTTTCACGTGAAGTCGCCCAGGCTGTAGTGATTCACATTACTTTTGCTGTCGTTTCTGTGTTGCTGTCTGCAGCTGCAGAGCAGGCTCTGAAATAACTCACCAAAGTTACTTGCTTGAAAATCCTTGGTTTGTTCTGAGGAACTCTTGGTATGTATTAAAACTGAGGAACCACTGCTGACAATAATGATTTCTAAATTTGCATCTTCATGTGCTGCGTCGTAATCCAGACAAGAGAAATGAGCAGGTTTATAAATTCATACCAAATTGTTTTAGTGTGATTCTAATCATACACTTACTTTTCTCATAAATCCCTGAGAGTCAATAGTATTTGGCAGAGTCCTACAGCTTGAGAACAATTTGCTTGGAAACTTAATACTGTTCACACTACGTGTTTTCCATGAGAAATCGTATTGTCATTCAGCACAAAGAGTTGAAAGTCATGCATAATGGTGCACTTGACACTTAAAAAAAAAAAAATCCAGTTGAAATGAATTTTAAATAGCTACAACTTTGGCTTTCAAACTTAAAAGATCAAATCTTATTTTGCAGCTTAAAGTTAGTGGGTGAAACCCTGTGTACACTAGATCTAATGCAGCATTGTCCTTGATTTCAGTTAAATGGGAATTTTCAGGTAAACAGTTTATTTTCACAAGTTTATATGAAAATCTGATCCTTAGTTTTCAGTTATAAAAATAAAACATTTACTTCCAGGGACAGTATTCCAAAGAACATTATAAACGAGGCAAGTCAAGTAACACTTCTTCCTTGAAAACAGGGATTAGGTGAAAGAACAAGTCATGATAAAATCTTTTGATTTTAACCCTGCTATGGATCCTTACTGGATTAGTGATGCCTCTGTATGATTTTAAAATAGCTCGGATATGCTTCTGTCTTTGCACCAGAAATCTTTTAGTGTTGCATGCTTTCATTCAACAGTTTAATTATCCATTTAATTATCTCTGTAATGATTCACTCTGTTAAGGAGGCCGTAACGTGTATCCTACTTCCGATTCTGAAAACAGACAATTGGTTTCTTTTCTCTGCGAGATATTAGCAAGAGTTTCTTAGAAGCTGTATTTGTTCAGCAGTTTGCTTCCTTGTGGTTCTGGCCACAACTTCTGCCCCAGAGGTACTGGGCGTGAAAGCATATGTAAGATGTGGTAATTTGCCATACCAGCTTGCTGAACTATTTGATGAGTAGCTTGTGTATTTTTAGATGTGTTACTTAAGTAAAGATTCAGCTTCTGTAGCTACAAAGAATTTGCAGAAGCAGTAAGAAGATTAGGTGTTTGGTTTGGTGGTTGTTATTTAAACCGGCATTTTCAGATTTAAACTCGCGCTCATTTCGCAGCTTGCTTTTTGTATTAACCGACCTCCCACGTTCCTCTCAGTAGTTGTTTTACTACCTTTACTTGGCTGAAGATGCTTGTTGCCTACCACAAAAGCGCTTTTCTTTGCTGACTCTTTGTGTCTTTTGAGAATAATTTTATTGCTAAAGTAGCCTTCAGTATTTTACTCTTTTGTATTGGTTTTAATGTATGGTTATATTTATTCATTTAACCTTTAGGAAAATTGCAGTAGGAGCAGCTTACTTGCACAACTGTCCTTCTAAACCACTGCATGTAAGCAACTCCTTATTCATGGTTTTCTGGAACACCCATAACTTGCTTGAGCTGCTATGATAACAGGAAACTGGAAAGCTCCTTTTCTTACTTGCTTTAATTTCTGGAAATTGTAATTAAAAATGTTTTTGGAGTTTGCTTAGCTGCAGGATCTGCAAACTATTTTAAGTTTGGATGGATGAGTCATTTTTTTTTTTTTGGCCAAGTTTAACACTGCTGGGATTCTCCTGAGGTGCAGGGGTCTGTTATGTCAGAGGTAAACGTAAGGTGTACGTGCTTGATTCAAATTCAGGTCTGGCTGGAGATGAGGTGAGTCAGAAAGGGGGGAAGAAGACAGCACACCAGTGGGTCGGTGCTTTGCTTTGCATTTGGAGGACATGAAGAATGGAAATCCTTAGTACCTGAGAGCTTGTCACCAGCACCAACTATGCTTCACTGCATACCCTGATGTTAGGTCAGAGCTTTGAACTCGCTCATTCTGGCAGCCTCTAGCTGAGGCAGCCATGAGGTCATTTGTTGTGTTCTCTGCAACTAGTTCTGTGAGATTCTTTCCTAGCATCTCTCAGAGAGCCTGGAAACTGTATGACAGGGTGTTTATGTTGTTATTGTTTGGTTGTTTTAATTTATTTAACATAATTGCTTGTCCCTTAAGATGATGGTGGTTTTAAACAAGTAGTTCAACACAAGTATTTATTGAAGCTCTGTAAGAGCTCAGTGGAATTCCCCTCATCTGTGTGACCTGTTCATCTTGTTCTGGTTAATTTTGCAGCCTAGGAGGCTGAGGTCTTCCTTCTGTGCTCTGAGGATGCTGTTCACCTTGCTGAATAGTAGGTTCTGGCTCCCCCTGGGGGGAACCCCGATAACGGTGGTTCTGTCAGAGGGCGGAGCTGAAGAAGCAGCCCCTGGTGATACTGCCACAGGCCTGGTATCTCTGCAAAATACATTATGTCTCCTGTTGTGCAGGACTGTAGCTTGCTTTCTTTTTTATTGTAAGTTTTTTTTTTTCCCTTGTGTGTTTCTTGACAATGAGGAACACTCCTAATTTTCTTGGCGTTAGTTGAGGCAGAGATCCTTAGCTTCTGAGAGGTGTAGCAATTTCTCTGCGTTTGTTCAGCCAGCACCAGCTACTCCAGTACAAAAAGAGGACAGAGCAAAGAATAATGCCTGTTGGGTTGGCTCAGTGAGGTTATGGAAAGAAGGACGTTTCTGGCTAGTATTTAACTTCCTGGGTTTTTTTTCTCCTAGCTTTTGGCACTTTGGAAACAGGAACATTTTCCTTATCAGTTATATTATACTATGTTAGTTAAATGTAAAATCTAAATATTTACAGGTCGGCTTCTGTGGTTAACATTATGTTTAGGCAGTAAGACTTGGGGAATTATTTGTTTAAGGCTAGTCCCAAAACTTCATACCTGTTATTATGTAAATCGGGCAAACAAAAAATAACGTACATTCTGCAATCACGTTCGCTGGATTTTCTATTCAGTGGTGTGTTCTGGGGGAGTTTGGGAAAGAAAAGAGCTTATCACAGGAACTGCAGGTTGTTATAAGCTGCAGCCTGTTGGTTAGCTGGAGGAGGGAGATTGTAGGAACCTGCCAAAAGAGATTATGTTAAAGCTGTAAAGTGACTCTTCTGAATATTTGCTCACAGTAACGGATCAAGCCTTTGTGACCCTTGCTACCGATGATGTGTACTGCCAAGGCGCTCTGGTTCTCGGACAGTCGTTGAGGAACCATACGACATCTAGGAAACTGGCAGTACTAATTACACCAGAGGTTTCCAGTGGGATGAGGTAAGGATTCATGTGTTTTGGGAGGCTGATTATATGGAAGAACAAGCAGCGTGAAAGATTTTAATAGGCTTCCTGTGGATTTCACAGCATTCTGTCTAGAAGTGCCCCCTTGGCTAGTGATTTCTGAGAGGAGTCCCAATAACACCCACGATAAGATCGTAAGCCTAGTAAGAATTCACTTGCAGAAGTAGAGCTTGTGGCTGGAAGTTGTCTTAAGCCCATAATTTGGAACATAAGCTGAAGATATTTAATGTCTTGCTTTTGAGACAAAATAAAGGCACTACTGTTCCCTGCGCCCCCCGACCCGCCCCCCAAGTGTTTCTCTTTTAGAAAGAGTTAGATACATAACCACATGTGACATCAGAAGTCTGCAAAAACCTTAGGAGTTCAATTTCAAATGACTTAATCTTTTTAAAATACTGGTGCATGGCGATCATGATGAGAAATTAATTTTTTTTTCCTCCTTTTTTTTTTTAAAAATCATTTTCCAGTTTGGTTTGTGATTTCACAGGCGCTACAGAATTGGATGTAGAGAAATGTCATTAGATCTGTTGAACTTAAGCCCTTTTATTTAGAGGACTGTGGTGCTTGTTCAAAGGAACATGACATGCGGTAGCTGCTTAAACTCTTAAGTCTGCGGTGGCTTAGGAGGTGTGCAAGCTCCTGATATCTGTACGCTGTGTGAAAGTATTTGCAATGCATCTGGCTCAAGAAACATACTTTACCATTTTTGCTGTGATTCGATGTACAGAAATCTGTTTTTACAGTTGTTTTTTTTTTTAAAGTATGGATTTTTTTCAGAACACTGTAACCTTCCTGAGAGAATACTGTATACGTTTGACACCCGGGTGGACACTAAGTCCATTAGTTTTTTCGTCCTCATTCCGTGTCTGTGTGGGAAAACTTTTATAATACCTTTTTTTTTAGTCAAGGATAGCATTGTAAAAAAAGGAATATCACTAAGCTATGCTTCTAAAAATCTGTACCTACTTTTAATTCTTTCCCAGTTATGTCCTGCCCCTTGAAGATCAGTCAAGCAAAAGCTAATGACTCTGAAATCTAGATAATCAGCACAGGCTTTTCTTGTTCTGTGTTTGTGTGACATCCAGAACTTTGTAGTTAATAGTGTAATGTAAATAAATAAACTGTGTTTAAAAGACTTTTTTTTTTTTTCTTGTGTCTTGAAGGAAAATTCCCTCCTTTAGTACCACCTGTAAAATTCCCATGGAAGATATGCATAGAAAAAAGATGACTTCCTAAAAGTCTCATTGGAGACGATTTGTAGTAGCGAGCAAGTACATACTGCCTGTTCTGAAAGGTGCAGTTTTGAAGCTGCGCTTACTTGGGCACAGTAGGTGCAAATGACTGTGCTGGCAGTGCATGCCACATCCGTGCAGCGCAGAGGGAACGCGGTGTGGTGCTGTTCTTCAGAGACGGTTGTGCAGGATGAAAGCTGCTTTAATTTCTGTTGGCGTTTCTATAGGAGATTAAGTAACTAAAATAAGGGTTGGTTTCTCTTCCATACAGCACCTGTCGCTTTTGAGGTGCTGGGTCTGTCATGGAAGAGGCGATGGTATGCCCTGGTTGACAGCTGTCACTTCAGCAGACTGTTTACAAGGACTCTTCCCTTCTGACTTCTCATTCTGGCCAGCCAATCTAGCCTTTGTTGTTGTCATAATAAATATGGTGCCGTGTGTCGCTGTTTTCATGCCAGAAGTGAACTCCGATGAACCCCTCTAAATTCCCTTCTTTCTCTCCACTGCTTGCCCTGGTAGGTCTGTCCTCCACAGCGTGTTTGACGAAGTCATCGAGGTGGATGCGCTTGACAGTGCTGACTCGGTCCGTTTGGCTCTGATGCAGAGGCCAGAACTGGGTATAACCTTCACTAAGCTTCACTGTTGGACTCTTACTCATTATAGCAAATGTGTCTTCATGGATGCAGACACTTTGGTGAGTAGAGTGGGAGCTGTGGGAATGTTTGTGTCTGTCTTGAAGAGCCACCCTGAGCATGGGATGCTTCCTTGTCAGGCAGCCTGCTGGGCTGTGAAGTGACCAGATTTGCTGGTGGTCACAAGGTTGCGGGAGCTCCAGCTGGCGTGCTTTGGCAATGCTCGCAGTTTTGCCGGCTGCCTAGAAATAAATCCTGTTTTGAGAGTAGCCTCAGGACTGTCCTCAAAAGGCATTGCAAACACACTCTATGCAAATGGACTTCTGACAGATGTTTGAAATGGATACATACATAGTTTCATACGCTTTTGTTTGGACTTATTGTGGTCAGGAAGGCAGGCCAGTTTTAAAATGAAGGGGGCGGGGGGGAAAGCCCAGAAACATTAATTACTTTTATTATATCTTTTAGAGGTAGAGAGATTAAAACGGCCATAATTTTGGCAAGGACAATCATGTCAGCCTTCCCCTGCGCTTACGTGGCTCGCTGTGGAAGACTGGGGTGCATTTTAGTTTAATAGGTCTGTATTTGAATTAGAAACCAAATTAAGTTCTTGCTCTCAGGGGGTGAGGTGGGGGAGGCTTATGATTTCCTGCTTTACATTAAAGTTAAAGGAGGAAGGCAAATACTTGTTTTGTTTTAAACTCAATGAAGTAATCTTTCTCCTAAAAAATGTTCTTCTGCTTTTCACAGTGGCTCAGTTGTGGGTGGGGCCCAGACTTTCAGCGACTGCCCAGCTGTCTTTCCACGAGCTTTAAAAGTGATCTCGGCCTTAACCTGATTGATTTTTGCCACTTCCTTGTGAAGCTTAAAAACCAAACCATATCAAACCTCTGAGTTTATGTTACATTAGAAAACTGGTAACAAATGACAGTTTGTCTGCTACTCCTTTAGTCAGTCTGTGCTAACTCAAATTATTTGGATTCCCAGCTTTCATTCAGCCCATTTGCAGTTACTGAGAATAGTGGATTCTGGAAAGGTGAGCTAAGATAATGTTTAAAGTATAATGTTTAAAGGGACCTTCTGGAGGGTCTCCAAGGTTCATGAAATAATTGCACAGGGATTGGGCTTTTTGCAGAGAAATCACAGAGAACCACAATTAATGTTGCCATATTACGTTAAAAATAGAGGTTCTGACCCCTAGCGTATTTTGCATTGCCACTGCTTTTATGCTCTGCAAGTTATATACTTGGCCAAACTAGCAGTTTGCTCCATTGGTCCTGATTTAGCTGCTTGTGTTCTAGAAAAACGTTTGCTCTAACAGTTTTTCCTTATTTTCCTGCTGTCTCTAAGGTGCTTTGCAATGTTGATGAATTGTTTGATCGAGAAGAGTTTTCAGCAGCTCCAGATTCTGGCTGGCCTGACTGCTTTAATAGTGGTGTGTTTGTGTTCCGACCTTCCTTGAAAACTTACAACCTGCTTCTCCGCTTTGCTGCTGAGCATGGCAGCTTTGATGGTAAGGGGCAAGGATGAAGTATGAGACATGAGATTCCTTCTCATTAAGCTGTTTTTTCCATAGCTTCCGTGCTATCAGGCAGAATAGAGAAAGGCAGGAGTTCTCTGGGCTTTACACAGTTGTGCCCCCACAAAAATTTAAGGTGCAAACCTTTGCCTCTTACACTGTACTTAAGACCCATTAACTTCTTGTGGACTGTGCTTCCCAGAAAAGGGCAATGAAGGGACCTTGCGTCTGAGTCTTGCTCAGTAAGTTTTAATTTTGCTGTCTGGTTTAGGAGAGAGAAATACATCTGATCTTCAGTCTTCTGCTCTGAGGGAGACCAAACCCCTTTCCTACTCCTTTCTTCATATATTACAGTAGGACTGCATTTGCACTGAACTTGCGTCGGAACGAGATCAGGTATTGCTCACTTGTACCTGCGCACATGGCCATATTGTCAAGTCCAAGTTGCCGTCCCATGAACACACCAGCCTCACTCCCATCCTTAGATGTGAAATTTTGACGTAGATTTGAGTATGCGCGTAATTGTGGTAATACTGTTTTACATGTATTCTTTAGGAGGTGATCAAGGCTTGTTGAATAGCTTCTTCAGCAGCTGGGCAACAGCAGATATTGGCAAACACTTACCTTTCCTCTATAACTTAAGCAGCAGTGCTGTATACACCTATGTTCCTGCTTTCAATCAGTAAGTAGTAACAGATCTGACTGCAAGGCTCTGTAGTTTGTTAACTAATGTTGTATTACAGAGAATAATAATGATGCTTTCTGTTGGTTATAAATTACAGCAGTCAGAAACAGTGGTATGTAGAAATCGTGCAGTAGAAGCTTAAATGCAATATGAATGTCTTGCATCTGGACGCAGAGAGAGTCCCAGAGCTGGCTGGGCTGTCCCGTATGTTGTTTCAGAGAAGCTTTTCTCATATTCGAAAAGACGTAGATGACTTTTGTATTAGGTTCTGACAGCTTTACGATGAACAACTTTACGAAGTTGTTCCCTTCTTTTGCAGTCACTTCTGTTGAAAACAGTTGTTCTTGTGTTTGGGTTTTAAAATTTTTTTTTAGAAAACATTTCTTAGGTTCTTCTGTGGAACAAAATTTGTGCCAGTAGCTATATGGCTTCAGACAGTGCAGTTAGGAAACTTTTTCTGGCAGAAGGCAAGTTGGATTTAGGGTGCCATGAATTACTGCTCCAGCTGCACGAAAGATTCTTACCGGCAGGTGAACTTAGGACGATGTATTTATTAGTAATTTTTAATATGGGATCAGTAATAACCAATCATCGTGATTCAGTGTTTGAAGTGCTATTTACGTGTTTGTGAACAGAGTATGCAGGAGGACTGGAAAGGGTGCTGCGTTAGCCTGTCATTTTCCTTCGTGAACTTTTCTACTAGAATCAGCAGCTGGAAGCAAATGGCAATGCAGCCTTTTATTTTCTGTATGCTAAACGAGATACCTTAAACTAAGAAGATAGAAAAGATACTAAATATGTATTTATATTGAATGTGTTGCTATTGCAAAATGTCAAAATTACCTCACCAGTGAGAGTAAGCATGTTTCTTTAGCAGTTTATATTGGTTTAAAAAAAAAAAAAATATATATATATTTGATGTATAGACCTGTATGTTTAATCTCTGCAGTTTTGGTAGAGATGCTAAAGTTGTTCACTTCTTGGGAGCGACAAAGCCCTGGAACTACAAATACAACCTTCAAACAAAGAGAGTTGTGCAGGATGGCACCACCTCTGGATCTTTTCATCAGCTGTCGTTTCTTGCCCTCTGGTGGAATATATACAGTGCCAGTATATTGCCTTTGTTAGCAAAACTTCAGAAGATGGAAGACTCAGAATCTGAGGAATGCAAGGTAACAAATAAGGAGTTGGAATCACAACAAAAATTCTGAAATGGATGTGCTTGCTAGAGGAAGGAATGACATGAAAAAACATAGTATCTATTGATTGGTAGTAGCAGTGATGGCTTCTAGAAGCATCTAAACTATCAATTTAGGAAGGATTTTTAGTTCTATTTGCTTTCCAGAGATTTCCCCCAGCCCCCGTCTTAGTTGATGAAGAGTTTGTATGGGAGTGTATGTGTGTAGATTCTGCAAATTAAAACAAAGTATGACACAAATTAGCCAGAGAAGGTGATGATCTGTCTGTGAAACAAACGGACTTTTGACTTTTTGAAGATAAGTTGATGTAGACCTGAAACTAGCCCTTGAACTATAGTAAAACTTGCCTTTTCAGAACCTCATTATAACTTGTTTCATGAGGGTCATAACAAATCAGATTTGCAAAGGCAGCATTAATTAAGTTTAGGATGTTTTATTCAGTACTTATAGTATCAGCCATTTACTGAGCACTTTATGCCTTTTTTTTTTCTCTTTGAAGGAAGTGCAGCAATTTATGAAATTCTATTTCTATCAATAGATTAAAAAAATCTGTTGATAAATAGATGGTTTCTTGGAGAGCAGCAGCATAAAGTAATGAGTAGAATTACAATTTTTAGTTTTGTATCCAGACATGACAATGTTGATCACTTTTATGCACACGTAAATATTTTCTTAATTTTTTTTAATATTAGACTATTACCATCATTGAACTAATTGCACAGTCGCACGAGATCGGTTGGACAATTACCATCAAAGCCCTAACGAGGAATTTGGTTTGTTAACCTTGTGACAAATTGGAAAGCAGAGGAAGGAATGGGCAGTTACTGATCTCGTACTTTAACATGCTGCAATTTTAAGGAAATTGTGCAGTAACGAAATACTCTGGCCACAGCAACATGAAGGTGGCAATACCTGTTATATTTAGCTCCTGATGATGCTGGCATACCTACGAGTGCAAAAACCTAAATTGCAACAATGTCGGAATCTGAGACCACAGACTTCTGAAATTACTCATTCCTTTAATGCTGAGACCCCTGTAAGGAAGTCAAACTTGTAAATAAGATATTAATTTCCTGCAAAATTGCATTTCAGTGGTGAGATGTTCTTGTTTTTGTCAGCACACTTTCAATGGAGTTGAAATTACACTGAAAAAGGTCAGTCCTTACGTGGCCAATTCGCTGCAAATGCCTGGGCTTCCAGAGCAGACCTATGAAATCTATCCCGCAGTGTGTTCACCTGGGGAGCTCACTTTCAAAGCGGTAAGAATGTTGTATATTCCTACATGCAGTAACAAAGTAAAATGATACACTAAAATGAGATAATTTTTTTTTTAATTATGCTTCTGATCTGGGAGATTGGATCTTCTTCAATTTAGCGTAGCTACTGAATTTTCTTGCTAGCATCAGAAACAGTCTAAAGAGTATCTCTTTTCTTTAATCTTTGTTCGTGCATGCATGATGCGTCTGGAGGTTGAAAGAGTTTGCATTGAATTTTACGAACAGATGACGTATTGAAAGTTGCTAAGTAATTAATAAAATCATAATAAATGTAAAAAATATAATATGCAATATCAATGTAATAAAGATGTGTTACTAAAGTAATCTTTTGAATATTAATACTCTTGTGAATTAATGTATTTAAAACTGGAATCCTTTCTGTCGCTCCCCTGTAGAACTTTTTTTTTTTTTTTTTTTTCCCCAGAGGTGTTGACCCAGAAAACTCTGTGAATTGGGCAACCAGGAATGTCTTAAAACAAACCACTGATGATCATTGTAGGGGTCCTGGCTCTTTTGTCACTCTTCTTGCATTTGGGTGTTTCTGTTGCACTGACTCCCCTTATTTTGTACAGGAATTAGGTTGGACATAATCGCACAATGTTTCTGCAGGTGTAAGTCATTACGTGTTGTATGATAAACCACACTACAGCAAGGTACAACTGGGAGAAGATAAAATTCATGTTCTAATGTCCTCTGCTGTTGTAACTTGTGGACTGCTCTGTAGTAAGATGAAGACACTTTTTATTACATTCAGTGCTTCATCCCTTTAGGCTATAGTTACTCCATAAAGTCAAACTGTAGTTTTCCTTCCTTTCTTTTCCACTGTGAGTCTGGAGGGACTGAAGGAAAAATGCAAACCTTCTCGCTTTATAACTTAACAATAATTTCTTTGCAAAAGATGTGTTATCTTGTGTTTCTTGTACATCTGACTCCATTGGAAAGGCTCAAACCAAATAGGAACACATTTTCAAGATGTTTGTTTGGGGTAAAAAAGATCATAATCTTCACTTAAAGTACTGTCATTCAAATTTTAAATTTCTTTTATTTTTTAATTACTAGGATTGGTTTATCAGAAGATCATATTAATCAGAAATTAATAGCTTGATTCTCTTCTTACTTAGGAACAGCATCATTCTACTTCTTGTCACTTAGCTTCAGCAATCTTGTGGGATTGTTTTGGTTTTGGTGGAAGAGACTTCAGAATGGGGTCTGTCTAATCATTTCTGTTCTGATATCTGCCAAAGGCAAATACTTGGGGCAGCATTTTTGAGGCAATCCTTTTTACCTCTATTGTGGAATTCATTGTTCTATTCTCATTCTATGCATATGAAAAGCTGAGGAGTTACAGAGGAAGCTATTATCCCAAAACGAGATTTTTCTTGTTGACGTTTGGCCTCGTGAATGGTAGGCATCTACTGTAAGCTACCTTTCCAGGCTGTTCCTGTGGCCACTGAAGAATGACAGCCACTTTGAACCTATTTTAGGATGAGATGAGCTGCCCTCTGGAGGTACTTATCCTAGATTGATTATAGTAGGAGCTTATGTTCAATGCCATTTTGCTAGCTAAAGCTGGGTGAGATCAATTTTGTCCTTGGTAATTATGTGTTTCATTCCTTTTCCTCCCATCCACTGCTTTCCCCTATCGCAAGACTGAAATTGATTTGTATTGTATGAATTCTCATGATAAAGAAACTATGAAAAAATACGCTCCTAATAAAACCTCAGTGGCTGTATCTTAGCAACCTGTGTGTGAAGTTGAACAAAGTGGTTCTAATGTCTATCTCTGAGCGTGACAGACCTTCAGAACAACTTGTGTTGTTCCTGCATTTTGGGAAACCTCAGAGCTGGTACAGGTAGAAACTTTCTGTCTTGTACATCTGTTGATAATTGCATGGAAGTCTTTGCTGCCAGTATCATTCTGGGAAATATCAACTTATGATGAGATGTGCAAATAAATGCTTTAATCTTTTAGCTATGTAATTCCTTAACTGCTTCCAGTACTGGGGTATGATCCCTTTCTAGTTTTCTTCTAGAAACTTCCAGTTTTTAAATGTATGTTCTCCTGTGCTAGCCCCCAAGTAATAAATGCACGGTGGTAATTTTAGCTCTTCAATACTAATACAAGCAAAGCTGTTTGGGTTTCTTTGTCCTGATTTAGGTTTTTTTTTACCTGCTGAAGTGATGTTTCCAAGCAAGCGGAAAATGAATGTACAGTGAGTCAGGCATGAAGCCGATGCTGCTAGGCTTTCCTCTGTGATCTTGCACTGCCTTTTTCTGGGGGCAGTGTGACAGCAGTGCCAGACTTGGCGTTGATGGGGGTGACGGGCGGTCAAGGACTTGTATCTTGTAAGATACACAGCACAGCCATCTGAGGCCTGATGAGGCCTTTCGTGTGATTGTGAAGCACCACAGTGAAACACTTTAAGGCTGAGAAACAAAACTGTACGTAAAAGTGTACATCCTGTGCAGCCAGGGGTGCTTAGGCCCTAGCCAATATTCTTCATTTCTAAAAACGCAAAATTCTTCATTTCTAAAAACTTCTTGTTAATGGCATCCAAAGCTGTCGGTAAGGCTTGCCGATGGTAAAGAAAGGAATCTTCATGCATTACTGTGGTTATGTGCATACAAAGCCTGAAAATTAAATTCCAAGTATTGTTGCATGTTTGCGTATATAGGGAGGAGTCATGCTCTTTTGAGTGTTTATTCATGTTTAAAGTCATGTACAGAGGGACGCAGGTGGGGATACATATGGAAGGATGCAGTTGCCTGAGCATATAGTGTCATGCTGGCGGTTTGAAATACCTTACCTGGTCTGCAGGTACAGGTCTTGCGCAAGTCCTGTGCCTCGTCCGCCCCAAGCTGGCAGATGTAATGGTTATTCCAGGGCATTTGGGTGGTTTAAGCCACTGATTCCTGCCCCGTTAAGTTCTGTTCTGAAACATCTTTGTGTTGAATTTGTGAGGGCTTCACTGGAAGGCCATTCTGTTTGATTTCAATTTTGTTTATAACATGAGATGAGTTGTTTGCTTTGGAGCAGTACGGAAAGCAGGTTTTCAGTAGCTGCCTTGATTTGTCCTTGTTATGCTTCATCTTTATTACTGGCTATAATTGTTGGGATGTTCTGGTTTTACTGGCATTGGTCAGTCATGGGACAGTTTTTTTTCTTTTATGTGGTTGAAATTATCACTAATAATGTGTCTTGTATTTGTGCACCCATGATAACTTGATCTTGAACCAGGATTCACAGTTTTGGATTGTTGTTCAAAATGAACTAGTTACCAGTGTAACGAATAGTGTCAGTCTTTTTAAGTAATTTATATGGGTGATGTGTCTCGCATCAGCTAAATAATAGATCTTACTGGAGATCAGATAAAACG